GTCCACTTGTTTCCTTAATTTTCTAACCTCGACCTGTCTTGTCTGGCTTGGAAGTCGATGAATCCCTGAACGAGTTCATTTTCATTTGAATTGTGAAGTCTGTGTTTGCATTGCGGATAACCTCCGATGAGATCGTATTGAGTCTGCCCACCTCTGCCACTCTTCTGTTTTGGCAAAAGACCCGTTGCCTCCGTTCCACGGCTTTGGGTCTCGCTCCACCAGTCTCCATTTTTTTGCAATGTTTTGGAGAGTGTGGCTCTTCTCCACCACGCTCTCCGTTTGTCACTGTGAAAATCACACAGAGTTGTCAGAGAATTCTGACATCTGGCATCTGAAATCGTCGGACAGTCGGTCTTGCGTTGGAGGGACTGCATGTGCTTCTCATGAGAGTGTGGGTGGGCATCACTTGACCATTCTTTAAATGCCGAGAGCAGAATGAATCTTCTGCCAGAACAGGGAAAGATGCACATTGCATGTCCATAATTTGTCTTTTTCGCATGTGGTGAGGAGTGGAGCGAGGACCTGTATTGTGTGTTCACCGAAAATAGGTTTAGCTGATGTTGTAAGGAAAACTTGTGGCGCTTTGGCTGAAGTGTTTAAAAAAAGCCTGTCACCTCTGTTGCAGGGCTTTGGCTTTTCATTGCCAGATGTTGGAGGTGCTGCATCTGACGTCTGTCAGTCAGATGAGTGATGAAGGAGTAGAGCTGTTGATGAAGAACAACTGGTTGACGGTGTTGGACGTACTGGGATGCGCGCGCATAACGAAGGCATTTGTGCAGTTTCTTGTCCGACAGTTCACGAAATCTCCTGAGGTATTGTCACAGTCGTCATTCCTTTCTTTTTTTTTCTTTTTAAAAAAAAATTGCCTACTGTTGTTGCTTTGTCCGACAACCCTGTGGACCTGTCTGCTGTGTGGCTTGAGAAAAAAAAAAAAAAAAAAAAAAAAAAAGAGGTTGTGACTCTGGCAAGCAAATATAAAAATTCAATTGAAATCTAGGCTACCAGAGTTGGCCGGCCACTTGCCCGGCCGTGCCAAAAAAAAAAGTTAAAAAACAGAATGCAAAGGAAATGAGCAAATAGCGAAATTACAGAATTCCAAATTGCAAAATCACATTGAAAGCTAGAAAGTCGTAAGCTGTCCAGAAAGCAGAAATGCGCTGATATCACACCAAATGCGAGGAATGAGCCCTTGCGGGGCCCTTGTCAGCCATGCACGTGATCTGGGCTGAGGCCCCCAGCAAGCCCTATGCCCGCCCTAAGTGAAGGCGGGCCTGAATATCTACGTGAGGCCTATTAGGCTATTTCCAACATTTTTCCATATGTGGGTACTCAGACAGTTGCAGCACGCCAGTTGGTTACAGGAAACGTGAGCCTTCTGGCTCTTTACAGAAACACGGGCTGCACTGTACAGTTGAGCCCAGGGCCGGGGTGGTTGCGCCCTGGCCACACAGTGTGAGGCCGACACATCACGCAGCGGCCACGGACGAATGAGAAAGCAGCATTGTCGTCACACATGAGCCGTCAGCCAATGAGAAAGCGGCGAACACTTGGAGGCTGCATGGTGGCCTGAATGTGCCTAACTGCACGAGGCCCAGACCAAGATGGGGAACTGGGCCTGGGCGTAGACACCTGGGGCCCAACCAAAGCTACTGGGCCCCCACACACACCTGGCCAGGCCAGCCAACCGCGACACACTTTCCATAAAGGAAAGTGTGAGCCTCTGGCAGGGGCATTCTGGCCTTGGCAGGCAATGCGGACACGCTGCTGCGTCGCTGCACTAGCATCTGCATGGGCCTGCTGGTCAGACGCGCGCATGGGCGCAGAGGTGAGGGGCACTGCAAGGGCAGCGAGTGCACAGCAGCCGTAGCCGGGCTGCAGGGGCGCAAGGCAGGTGATGGCGAAGGTGGTCTTCGGGTAGGAGGCGCATGCTCTGGGAAGACGAGGGGTGATGAGGGGAGAAGAGAGAACTTACCTGGCGTATGCTGGTGGTCGGCATTGGCGTTGACGTCACGTGCATTCGTCTTCGACTTCAGAGTGATCCAATTGCATGAACATAGATAGGCTAGATAGGCTGAGTAGGATAGGCTGGGCGCTGGGCTCCAGACAGTAAGTGCGACATTGGATACAGTGTTGGTGTGACCAGAGAGTGGCGACATTGACATTTGAGTTCATTGTATTGCTCTTATTTGGACGGTATCTTGGTGCATTGCACTCTCTGCTTGGTCCATGACGATCTGAGTTTCTTCGTGATTTTGCAACTTGGATTTTTTATTTTTATTATTATTTTTATTTTTTTTATATGTGGCCCAATGGACCACGGATCAGATATTAAACTGATCAGAACAGATACTACACTTGATCTTAGCCAAAATTTATGTTTATCGCTCTCGCTCATATTCCTTGCACAACTGAGAACCGCCTTGGTTCATGACCACCAACAATGTGCCCGAAGCTCTTTCCCCTATTGGCGGCGCTCAGCGCCCAGACAACGATCTTACAGCTACTGTGCTAGTCGAACAAAATGACAAAGCAACCAGTTGACGTCAGCAGCAGCGACCAAAGTACATGCAGATGTCGACCATGTAGACCTCCGTCAGGACCAGGTACATGCTCTCACATCTTTTCCCTGACTCGCCCTCTCAATGCTTACCCTCGTCTTCACCCACCGTTTCTAACAACATGAGGTCCACCATAGCCATGACCTCCTCGTCCATCCACCTCGGGTAGGTGATGACTATGGCGAACGACTACCGTCTTCACCCGAATATATCGCCCAGTCATTATAGGCGTATTTGGGGCCATTTTCTGTCCAGATGCAGCGATAATGACCGGGCGTTCTATTCGGGTGAAGAAGGTAGGGCCCCTGCCCCGGTGTTCACTAGACAACGCAAAAGCAGCTATGTCCTCTACATCTCAGGTTGCCATGCCTGACTCTGCCCTGAATCCTTCTTGATGCAGTGCCACCCCTCTCGGGGCCTTCTAGATGCACCGCCTACCAATGAGATGAAGATGGCGTCCACCATAGCCAGGTAAGTACCCCTCGCCACTCTCCTCATAGGCCCGTTCTTCCTCCTCCTCCTTTCTGGCGCTGTCCACCATAGCCAAGGTGGAAGCCCAGGCGCTCCTCCTCCCAGCGCTCCAGCAGCATGACGCCCAAACTTGCACACCACAAATGAGGAAGAGAAACTCGCTCTTCCTTCTGACATAGCAGGCAAACAGCCTCTTGGGTGGTGACTTCCAGGCCCCAAGGCCTCCCAAGCAACCGGTACCTCCTCCCTTTCGGAGGGAAACATCATTGCAGGTCTGATATCGTCCGCTACAGGCCCTAGACTCAGACTTCAGTACCGGTACGTAGACCAGGCCTACCGGACTCTCTAAACTTCGCACGACTTCTAAAAGTACCAACTTGTTGTCTTCTTTTGCTCGGCCTACCACTACTCAAGTACTACGGGCCTACCTGTCTTCCCCCGAACATAACGCATATGCGTTGTAAACGAATACAACGCACATAATTTTTGAATATTTTGATCTTTTTGAAAACTTGAATACAATGCTTATGCGTTATGTTCGGGGGAAGACGCCGAAAAAAGACGGTAGTCTACCGCTACTTGAGCGTGCCCCTAAGCTATCCCTACGACCACTTCAATGTTTTCCTGCCACAACCCTCAAGTTCACAGCCACAGGTAAGTACCGGCCCCGCAGGCCTCCCAATCAAACAAGTGCCATGCACACACTCAGGCAGACACAGGCTCGTGGAAACCAGCCAGCACGCGCACACACAGAGACTTAGAAATCTCAGTAGAACGCGGAAATCTCAGCGAGGCACGCATTCCAGCGGCAAATCCCAGAAATCAGCAGTGTTCTCAGTCTGTGTGTTTTGGCGGGTCATTGTATTCCAATCAAATCAAATCAATCATCAGATTCCCATCAAATCAAATCAAATCAAATGATTCAAATCAATCATCAGATTCCCAATCAAATCAAATCAATCAGCTTCCAATCCAATCCAATCAAATCAGTGCAATTGCAATCGAAGCAGATCAATCCGATTCGATCAATCCGATTCCAATCACATCAAATCAATCAGATTCCAATCCCCATCCCAATCCCATCCAATCCTATCCTTGTCAAGCAGTAATCAATCAATTAATCAATCCTCTTTGATAAGGAGTTTTCCAATCTAATCCAATCCTTGTCATGCAGTTATCAATCAATCAATCAATCCTTGGTTGTCAAGGATTAATCCAATCCCATCCAATCCCATCCAATCCTCCTTGTCAAGCAGTAATCAATCAGTCAATCAATCCTTTTCAAGGAGTAATCAATCAGTCAATCAATCCTTGTCAAGGAGTAATCAATCAATCCTTGTCAAGGAGTAATGAATCAATCAGCCCTTATTGTCAAGGAGTAGTGATTAGTCATCCCTCATTGTGAGGGATTAATTAATCAGTCCTTGTTCTCGAGGAGTAAGCAATTAATCAATCCTCCTTGTCAAGGACTAATCAATCAATTCTCATTGCTAAAGAGTAATCAGTCAAACCAATTAATCAATCCTCAATTGTCCAGGAGCAATCGATCGATCGATCAATCAATCAATCAATCAATCAATCAATCCTCAATTGTCCTGCAGCAATGAATTGGCTTTGTCAAGGAGTAATCAATCAAGTCTCATTTCACATTGTCTTTTACTTGATTAAGCTTTTTCTGTCGTCAGGTCTCATCGCATCTAAAATTTAACGCAGGCATCGCCGCGCTTCCGTGTTCTGTGTTTGCAACGGACCAACAGAGGCTGCGTCTTCGTGTTCTTGCGGTTTCCTCGGCGCTGAAGGTGGGAGCGGCAAAGGAGTTCCGGGACATTGCAGCGGCGCACCCCCGTCTGGACATCAGAGTTGGCGAGAGCGGCATGAGCTGGGACGGGTTTGTGAATGCGCGCCCTCTCCTGAGTGATTGCTGGTAAGCCGTACGGAAATGTATCATACCAGTTTCTGTGGCAAGATACGTCACGGGAATCGTGTGCTTATTGCCAGAAGCGATGTGCGAGCAGTGCTTGCTGCCAGCTCACGCTGCAGGCAGAGCGGCCGGCAGGCAAGGTAATGAGCACGAAAAAAAAATGTCAAGTACAACAGAGTTACGACTGAAATGTTTTCAGAATGCATCTAGCCACTTTCTGGGCTAAGATACGCCGTCAATGCTTATATCCAAAACAAACATCGGGTACGTCATCTTCGAGCACCTTTTAGCTGCTCCGAAGGAGGAGTGCTACCAAAATGTATCGAATGTATCGACCGCTTTCTGGGCTAAGGTACATCATCCATGCACATTCCTTTTTGGGAAAAAAAGGAAAAACAGGTCATGGGGGGGTTCAGAGTCTCTCAAGGCGAGATTGAGGAGAGGGAAGATGTTTGAGAAGATAAGATCGCAACGAGATTAGATCGAGACGAGAGAAGAACGACGGCGTAGTACTCGCACTAGCTCTATCCTAAATGTATCCGATCGCATTTACGGCCAGATACGTGATCGCCGCATTTACGGCCAGATACGTGATCGCATTTACGGCCAGACCTGCATGTATCTGACTGCAATGACGTCCAGAAAAAAAAAGTAAACAGGTTCTAGTGTGAGTATGCCCTGAGAAGATAAGATCGAGGTCTCTTTGCGCCTCCTGGAGGAGGAGGGCAAACGTTCAGAGGCTCTCGAGACAAGATCGACGGGCGAAAATCGCGAAGAGATATAAAATCGCAAAGAAGACAAGATTGAGAAGAGAGAAGATCGAGATCTCTTTGCCCCGCCTCCTTTTTTCGAGGAGAAAAAATGTTCAGTCTCTTAGGATGCGGTTGAGAGGACAAGATCGAGAAGAAAGAAGATCCAGATCTCTATGTGCCTCCTTTTAAGGAGAGAAGATGTTCGGAGTCTTTCAGGACGAGATTAAGAAGACAAGGTTGAGAAGAGAGAAGAGAGAAGATCTCTTTGCGCCGCCTCCTTTTTTTGAGGAGAGAAAATGTTCAGTCTCTTAAGATGCGATTGAGAGGACAAGATCGAGAAGAGAGCAGATCGAGAAGAAATAAGATCGATAGCTCTTTGCGCTGCCTCCTTTTTGGGAGGAGAGAAAATGTTCAGTCTTTTAACTTTAAGACACGATTGAGAGGACAAGATAGAGAAGAGAGCAGATCGAGAAGAAATAAGATCGATATCTCTTTGTGCCTTCTCCTTTGGAGGAGGGAAAATGGCGAGAGTCTCGACGAGATCGAGAAGAGATGAGATAGAGACGTCTTTGAGTCTCCTTCGGAGGAGGGAAAGCAATCGTACGATTTGGTTTACAGGCCCAACGAATGTTCATGGAGGTTCAGAGTCATTGCTCTAATTTCCTCCAGCTGAGATCGAGATCTCTTTGCACCTTCTTCCAAGTACAGAAAACGAACATGTATCGAAATCTCCTTTGGCTTTGCACCTGGACAGGCATACAGACCACATACATTTGGGCTGATCGAACATTTGAATGTATCGGAACCTGTAGCAGGTCTAGATACATTGAGCACGCCTTGTAGCAGATGGCGGCCCTTTGTCTCAGCGGACTGTGATTCTTGTCAGCGGAGTGATGGAGGTGACACGGAATTGCGGCTTTTTTTCCCCTTCTCTTCTGACTGGAAGGCCACTGCATAAGAAGTCTTCTTTGTCCTTTTGCTTTTTTGTCCGTGTCTTTTTCTCCTCACTGACAGAAATAGGGCCTTTTTCTTCTTTTCACTGGCAGAAATAGGCCCTTTTTTTTTTTCTGCTCACTTTTCTCCTTGTTGACAGAAATTGCCAAATTGGTCCTTTTTTCTCGCTGACAGAAATAGGGCCCTTTTTTTTTCTTCTCACTGACAGAAACAGGGTTTTTTTTTTCTCCTCACTGAGTCACTGAGTCACTGACAGAAATACGCCCATTTTCTTCTTCTCACCGACAGAAAAATAGGCCTGTGGACCTGTGGCAGCTCATGACGTAGGCAGGTATAGGTAGGTAGATTCCAATGACTCATTTTAATACAGTGTCATAAACTACAGCTTCGGACTAGGACGTTTAGTGCGGAACCTGCCCATGATCCTAGGCGTATCCTATACATCCCATGTACTTCCATCGCGAGTATGTCTTCTTTAGACTCCATTCATTTGCGAAGAGCTATTCTGTCTGCTGCGGAGGGTGCTGCTCATTTTCTATCTTTTCCCCTCCTCCTTTTTCCCCCCCTCCCTAAGAAGGGGGGCAAAGAAGTTCCTAGCATTATGGAACTGGGGCGGGATTTTAAGTTTTTAACCCTCAACCTGTGTAAATTAACAAATTCTAGTGGTGCTGTCATCTTCTTCTTTTCCGCCTCTACGCGCAACCCCGCAAAAGAAAGCATGAATATGCCAGACTGTTTCTTTCGGACTTTTATCAAACGACTCGTCAGGGGGGTTGAGGAGGTTTGAACTGGACAGTCTGTCAGGTCAGATGGGAAAGGAGTAGTACTAAGGACTCGCCACGCCGCCGAGAGTTGGCGATACCGTTGAGAGAGAGAGAGAGAGAAAGAGCAGTAGACTGTACTCACACTATGGGCCTCGCTGCACTACTCTCCATACGCGCAAAGGACAAAAAAATTGGCGGTGTATCTTTCCACGTTCTGGCGGAAGATTCATTCTCATTTTGCACATTTGGTGAGCAGTGCAGCGAGGCCCTACGTGTGGATGACGTTTCCGAGGTTAAACCACCAGTACCTACATAATGCATATGGAGCCCGCACGACGCACAGATTCGGCCGGAGGTACTGGTGGGGTTAAACCACCAGTACCCCAGGCGATCTTAGCCCCCCTCTGACGCAGATGCATATGGACCCGCATGGCGCACAGATTCAGCCCCCATGTTAACGCCTAAAAACACGGTAGGTACTGGTGGGGTTAAGAAGGCGTGCGCTGGGGTGAGTTAACAACGCGTAACACTAACATGCAATTCCTTCGTTCTTCTTTTTTTTTTTTCGTTTTACCCCCCGTTGTGAATTTGCGAAGCAGAAGAACGCGAATGCGGGGATGTGTCTGACAATGGTTGTCCCATGATGTTTGGCACCACACCTAACGGGCTTGATATGGTACGTCAGGTATGGCATGTCAGGGGCCCCAGGTAGGTAGGGAAGGTTCCGTATGGCGGGTGTGCTATGGCTGGTTGAGTATGCTGGGCAGGTCAAATATGCCTTTTGGTAGATTTGACTAAGGTAACCCAGATGCGTTGCGGGCCCGGTATGGCAGGCTCCGGTATGGCGGGTCTTGTATGGAAGGTCAGGTAAGGAAGGTCCCATATTTTGCAGGTCTCACATTTCAAGTCAGCTATGGCATGTCTGACTTGTCAAGTCAGCTGGTACGGCATGTACGCTAGGGCAACTCCTGTATAACAGGTCTAGCGGGTATGCCAGGCTCGGCATGGCAGGTTGGGTATCGCAGGTCAGGTGCAGGTGGCCCGTGATGGCAGGTCCAGTGCGGGAGCTGCGGTATGGGAGCTGCAGTGTGGAAGGTCCATAAGGGCAGGTCTGGTATGGCTCGTTCGGTATTTAGCTGGCCTACTGGGAAAGTATGGCAGGTGCGGCATCGCAGGCCCGTGATTTGGCAGGTCTGGCAGGTATAACAGGTCTGGTTTGGAAGGCCCCCTGGGAATGTATGGCAGGTCCAGTACGAAACCGGTGTGGTTTGGCAGGCCTACTGGGAAAGTATGGCAGGTCCAGTATGATAGGTCAGGGAGGCTGGCATGCCAGGGTATGGCATGAGGTATGGAAGGTCAGACATGTCAGGTCAGGTATGGCAGGGTATGGCATGAGCCGTATATATATTTTGCCAACCACATAACAGGTAAGGTATGGCAGGTCTGACATGTCAGGTCAGGTATGGGAGACCAAATACGACAGGTTCGGTATAGCCAGAGCGAATTGGCACATAGTGAGGGTTATGCCATGCCAAATATCACAGATCAGACTCAGCAGGCTGGGTATGAGGGGCCAGGTGTGGCACAGTTTAACTAACTTTAACAGTGCTGCTCGGGAGTGGGCAGGCGAGATAGGGCTGGTAGGGCTGGTCGGATATTGCAGATTCGACACTGAGGTTGAGGGCGATGAACGGCTGTGAAAGTTGTCACAGTCTCGGACGGTAGAGCATGATACTTCCTCCTCGATTTCACATCGACGTGGACAGTGGAAAATATGTGTGTTACTCTTCGCTTGCGGATGGGTAAAAAGAATGGACGCTCAGATGTGACGAGGTTTGATGGCCAAGAGGAGGCGGTCGTGTTTTTTCGTGTTTTTTCATACTTATCATCTCTCGACTTTCGGGCTTGCTCCACTACTGTCCGCATGCATAAAAGAAGGTGGCACGGAAGTATGGGTGGTTTCATTTCAATCAGAAAAATTGCACATGCACATTTTTTTGTCGACGCATCAAAAGAGGTGATCGGCCGACGAGGTTTGTCGTGGAAACCGACAGCATTGTGTGGCGGCAGACGAGATGTGGCGGCGATTCTTCGGGGAGAGGAGAATCGTGGATATCTGCTGGGGTTTGTGTTTGAACTCCATAGCATCGCATGGCAGAATAAGATGTATCGCCAGCGGAACGGCAAACGGGGTTTTGTTCTGAGACCTGCAGCATTGCGAAGCTCCGCACCCGAAATGAAATCTTATCTCTAGGAGGATAATCTTGAAGTGATGCGTCTTCACCTTCGTCTCTGAGCATCGCTCCACTACTCAACACTCTACATCCATTTGGACGCTTTCTGGACGAGGTGCATTTGGACGAGTCCAACATTGTGAATGCATTGAGTCTGGGAAGCGACGAAATGCATGTAGAGTGTTGTGTAGTGGAGCGATGCCCTCTATCAAGCAAAAGATCAGTCGAAAGCGAAGGCAGGCACCGTTATTTTTGGAAGCACGACCGAACGAATAGTTACCAGAAATCCAGACGCATGCATTGCACATTCTTCTAGTCTGAAAACACCTAGAATTCTGTTCAGAGTGACTGTCTACTACACCTGCAACTTGAGAACATTGAATGCGTTCAGCTGATCAGGTCTCCACTGCTCTCCAGTTTTTATCCAATTGTTATTCATTTGCGCTTAAACCACCAGTACTTTCTAATGCCGTGCCCGTTAACAAGCCACAATTTTAGGAAATGTACGGGTCACTACAGGAGCGCCCAAATTCATCCAACTAGAAATGTTTCTACTCCATTGTTTTGGGCCAAGTACTGGTAGTTTAAAAGGCCCCCCCCTCAAAAAAAAAAAAAACTCCGGGACATCCGTTAAAATTGGAACGATACGGAGAAGATTAGCATGGCCCTRMSMAGGRAAARGGARAAAAAAAAAAAAAAAAAAAAAAAAAAAAAAAAAAAAAAAAAAAACCTGACGGACGGGACATGTGGCTTGTCCTCCAAAAGCGCATCGACGGTGGAGCAGCTTCGTCTATACGCCTGCAACCACGGAACAGTGGTAGCATTTAACTAATCTGGTCACCAATTGCTTTTGGAATAACACCGGGCCTAGAAGCAAGCAAGCGAGTGTGTGTGGGCAGAATTTTCGATGTGCGAGTTGCGCATGTGTCCTTCTCTTTGGAAAGCAGCGATGACTGAACCCCCACA